CACAGAGTAACGAGTTTTATGCCGGCCCTTCACTTAACAACAGTTTGTCCTTGTCATGCTTAATAAGGAATGAAAAGGACAGACTGATGTCATGTTTTAAAATAGCAAATACGAATAGCCAAGTGAAGTGCCGGCATTAGGAAAAAAGAGTGTTTTGTTTGCAGCGCTGCCATAGATTATACACATAAAGTGGTATTTATTGTCTCATATTATTTTTTAACTTTTTTAGCATACTTAACTGGAAGTGTCCGTCACAATCTAAATACTGATAATTATCGCAAAAAATATACTAAGAATTATCATAAATGCCAAATTGGTGTTGGTTCTTAGGCCAATTTTAACATTGTCCTTTGTACACTAACAGCCTTATTACAAATCGCAGACTAAAGTTAAACCTGGACTAAAACTGATGCTGTCACTTTTGTTTGCTGTAATTTTAGTCTGCATCTTGGAATAAATGAAATTTTCAGAAAAATATTTCGTAATGGTTTATTGCTTCAACTTTTTGCGTGTCTGCAAATATTGTTTAGTACTCCTAAATAACATTAACAAAATTTTTCTACAAAATGTGGAATTAAGTAATTTTTGATTTAAAAACCTGATGCTTTTCTAACTATACCAAAAAAAAGGTTCAATATAATTTTTAGGCTAACTGGAGTTTAAGTTTAGTCACTTTTTTGTAATAAGTCTAAGTGTAATTAATCATGGAAAAATTTGTTCACATAATTTATGTGAGGTTTTTTTATAGATCACCATGGATACACTAAATTTGATTGTGAATCGACAACCTGATATCGCTTGGAACTTTTCTGTGTCACCGATGGAGAGTATAATGCTTATAGATCCAGAAAAGGTTAATCTGGAGGCTACTTTCAAGGTTGAGAAAGTGAAGTCTGAAGCGGATGTTGAAGAGATGCAAGATCAAATTGATACAGGTATTCATTAATCAACTTCCATGGTGTGAGTGGTATGTACACTGGTTTTTTGAGGTTTCACCTACTCAAGTCCTTGGTTCGAATCCATGTGGGGCAAATGTCTGTATCTGTTTATATAATAGGTTGGGGAAACAGTCTTTTGCGCATTATAGTATTTATGAACTTGTAATAAAATCTCTTTGGTTATACCGTTTGTACCGTCTGGGGTATGTCAGAATGTCCAGTGTGTTAAAATGACAAGGAAAAAATAGCCAATATTGTTAATATGCCCAGTTGTAATAATATACTGGTGTCAAAATAACAAATTGTTAAAATGTCTATTTACTATAATGTCAAGTTATCGAAACAACAAATTGTGTAAAAAGTCAGATTGTCATAATGTCCAATATCAAAACCCCAAATGTGGAAAGGTGTAGTCGCCAAACTTAATAGTTTTGTTACCAGTCAAAGGCTGTAGTAACATTCCCAAGATTTCGAAAATATACCTTTTTCAGGTATTTATACCTGAGACCGACTGTGTCAAGTATCTAGGTCTCCATCTGGACAAGAGGTTAACTTGGAAAACACACATCAAACAGAAGCATTTTGTAGTTGTGTACTACTACTTCACTCACTCGCTCTGTGGTTGGAAAGAAACTGACACAAAATCATTATAAATTTGAATTGAAACGAAACGAAGGCGATGCCGTCAGTAAGAGCGAAATGAAACCCTTTAAAAACCGCTAAAGTGATTCAAAACCTATTTGATTTCGCTTTTTAGGAAAACCGTTTTTTTTTTAAGGTTAAGGTAGAGCCAAACCTAAATAAAACGCTCCTAATGTACTTGATACTGATTTAGGTTTGTAAATTAACCGGTAAACAAGCCCTGCAACTTACATTCAATCAAAATGCAGAAAAGATGCGGCACTCGCGGCTCGCAAACGCTATATGTGCACTCAATATAACAACAATTTGCGTATATTCTGTGAGATAAAGATAAAACAATGCCTTCGATGTTTTTATAAAGAACAAAAATAGTTCAAGACTAAATAACAAATTCTACGTCAACACTTCATTCGTAAAACTATAATTTTTTTTTTTCTCAAAAATCACTGTTTGTCGTGAATGTTATTTACTTATTCGCTATTTGTTGTGAAGAAAAGGACAAAAATACAGCTCAGCCGTTTGCAGAGAGAGAAAAAAAAGGCAGTCGCTCGCGCTGCGTCGAGCGAGCGAGACAGAACTACGCTAACGCAGTTCTGTGTCGCTCGATTGAATGTTTATTTATAATGCGTTTCAACTAAGAATAAAACCGACTGGGCGCCATATTCTGATGATGATATGATGATGATGATGATAGGTAGAGTGAGCAAAAATAAGTTTTTATTTAATAAAACTTATTTACTAAGATTAAGTGAGAAAAAAAAAACACCGATTTTTAATAATATTTATTTATTAAGACTGTGAGAAAAAACATTAATCAGAATCTAGCTCTTCTATTCCGCTCATCTCTGCATTGTTGCTGGAGTAGTTCTGAATAATCATGCACTATTACTAGGTCACATACGAACATGCATCCTTTATGTAAACGAAAGTTTGAAATCGAGTTTCTGAACGCAACTTAAAGTGACATTTGGTTGACGATTTAGGTTATCAACCATTCATGGTCATGGCCAAAGCTCAATAAGTGAAAAAAAAATTTTAACCAATATCGGTTAAAATTATCAATATTCGTTATTTGTTTGTTTACAAATGTTTGGTTTTTATTCTTGAATTAGCGGAGTGCTAAAAAAGGGTTCCAAGATTTTTTTTGCAAATCGTACTTTTCAAGCGACATTTGACAGATAGAGGTCATTGGCTCTCCTGTTCTTATTTGAATCGCATTATACAGAAGTGTTCGTGCCTGAGAGTTGCTTACGTAGTGAGTCAGAGCATATTTTATTTGATGCTAGCATGAGCGTACCGTATCTTCCCTTTTTGATTTAATCTAAGGATGCTACTTAAAACAATCTTGCCACACGTCATGCGCAGTTGTTTTGTGCCAATGTGAAACTCTACACTGGCAGGCTGTAACACAAAATGCATTGGCGAATTCTTACTACATCTGTTATTATATTTTGAACATTGCACTTAACAATTTATCTTTAGAAAATATTAAGGAATATAAATGTAACATTTGGTTGGTTTTATCAGTAATCATAGCAATTAGCATCACATTTCGAGAAATTCGTTTTTAAGTCATACTTCTAATGAAATTTTCAATGAGGTTCCCCGTAATGATTTTAGTTCAGAATGCAGATTTATAGAGCCAAGGATTCCATAAACTATAGTGGGTCAATTTTTGTTGTACGACAAATATTGACGAAGTTATCACCAAATTACTAATCGAATTTTGGGCTGGCGGCGTGGTGTCTGTGACGTCACAGATGGAGCGTGCTTAGAGACGCTATACTACTGCAGTTGGACCACGGTTCGGAGTAAACCACGATCGAACTCGGATCGAACCGATTTCGATGATTTAAAAAGTATAACAGTGAAAAACCTTATTGGATCATTATACTGTTGATTTTGAGTTGATTTGGTGACCTAGTAATGATCCTCTTTACAATGTCTACTTTTGTTTATCTTAATATATTATTTTTATACAAATAGCGTACCATTTATAAACTTATTACTAACTTTTCATTAATAACGATAACCAAACGGACAACACTTTATAGAGATATATATTTAAGAAACATAAATATTAATCGCCTTCTTTACCTACCGCCAACAACCATTTTTTTCATAGGTACCTTAATTACTGTGTGCGTTAATTAATTTATATTTTAAGCATGTAACTGCTAGATGTTTGAATCGAAAGAAAATTTTACCAGAAAAAATTTCACGCGGACTAGGACAGCAGACGGGACTTTCGATTTAAACATTTAGCACTTTCATGATTAAAAATATTTTTTTTAACTATAAATGCTATTTCTTCTGTCTAATGTTTAATATTTGTAAAGCTAATAATTTGACATTGTTGGTTACCTACAACGCGAAGAGATGGCGCTGCTTTGCAGCTTAAGAAGAGGTACATAAAATTGGACAGGGCCATCAGGGCCGCGGTAGCATAATAGTCAGTGCATTCGCCCGGATAGCGAAGGGTGCGGGTTCGAGTCCCGTCTGCTGCCTGGTCCTCGTGGATTTTTTTCTAATAAATTTTTCTTACGATTTAAACAACTAGCAGTTAAATGCAAAAAAAAGGAAGTGTTTTTTTTTTGAGAATTATCCATATAAGCCTGATTATGATTGTTGAAAAAATGAAGTAATATTTATTTACAGGAGCAAAAGTGCCCGAGAAACGTAAGTTGAGCAACGAAATAGACAATGAGTTCCAAGTTAACCCTCCAACAGCATCGAGAACAACCAAACAAAACAGGGGAACAAAAAACGAAGCTCAAATTGGTGATCCTAATAGAATAACAGAATTAAAAACTGACGACAGTCTCTCTACACCAAACATTTTCACAAATAGTTACAAAAACGACAATGTGGTAAAGAACGAACACAACAAAATCATAAATCATAAAGAAACTTTTATATGTGACATCTGTAAAAATATATTTTTTTGTAAAAACCAATTAGAAAGTCATATAAATAAATCACATACTGAAATTATCACCATACCTAACAAAAATAATACCATGTCTTATGAAATAAAATTAAATGAAAATAAAATCAAATTAAAGAACAACACTGGTTCTGTAATGATAAGCAACTGTGGACATTCGATAAATAAACGCGACAGTAAGACTGGTCTGAAACAAACACCGTATAACGATAGTACCTGTGATACAAGAATTCACTCGGGAGAGAAACCTTATAAATGTAACGTCTGCGATAAAAGATTTACTACAAGTGGTAATTTATCCAGACATAAAATTATTCACACGGAAGAGAAACCTTATAAATGTAACGTCTGCGATAAAAGATTTACTCAAAATAGTGATTTATCTGTACATCAAAGAATTCATACGGGAGAGAAACCTTATAAATGTAACGTCTGCAATAAAAGATTTACTGAAAGTAGTACTTTATCCATACATCAAAGAATTCACACGGGAGAGAAACCTTATAAATGTAACGTTTGCGATAAAAGATTTACTGTAAATAGTAATTTAGCCACACATCAAAGAATTCATACGGGAGAGAAACCTTATAAATGTAACGTCTGCGATAAAAGATTTACTGATGGTAGTACTTTATCCAGACATAAAATAATTCACACGGGCGAGAAACCTTATAAATGTAACGTCTGCAATAAAAGATTTACTCTAACTAGTAATTTATCCAAACATCAAAGAATACACACTGGAGAGAAACCTTATAAATGTAACGTCTGCGATAAAAGATTTACTGCAAGTGGTCATTTAAACAGACATCAAAAAATTCACACGGGAGAGAAACCTTATAAATGTAACATCTGTGATAAAAGATTTACTGAAAGTGGCGCTTTGTCCAAACATCAAAGAATACACACAGGAGAGAAACCTTATAAATGTAACGTCTGCGATAAAATATTTACTCTAAACAGTAATTTAGCCACACATCAAAGAACTCACACAGGAGAGAAACCTTATAAATGTAACGTCTGCGATAAAAGATTTACTGCAAGTGGTCATTTAAACAGACATCAAAAAATTCACACGGGAGAGAAACCTTATAAATGTAACATCTGTGATAAAAGATTTACTGAAAGTGGCGCTTTGTCCAAACATCAAAGAATTCACACGGAGAGAAACCTTATAAATGTAATGTCTGTGATAAAAGATTTACTGCTAAGAGGTAGTTTATCCAATCATAATAAGAACTCACACGGGAGAGAAACCTTATAAATGTACCTAGATAATGAGCGATAAAAAATTTACTAAAAGTAGCCATTTCTACAAACATCGAAGAATTCACACGAGAAAGAAAGTGAGCCAACGCGCAACTGCGATATGGAATCGACCAATAGTTTAGTCGCTATCGTTCGATGACCAGTTATCACAGTATTGTTCAATACTTTAATCTCAGAAACGCATCTTAAGCGCAAAGGCAGCCTTAGGGGGCCCCGCGGCCTCGCTTATTGCAGAACTACATCTGTCAGTCGTGTTCTGCTATGACTCTTCACAGAGCTATCTGTTTCATACATTTACAACAGTAACAACACAAGTAAAGTTCTACTGAATGTATGAAACCGATCGCGTTACAACACAACACGAGAGATAAGTATATTTCTGCTTCAACCCAAGTCCCGTACAATCCGAAGTAGACAAAACCTAATGGAGACGTAGATATGATTATACTAGACGCACAAGATAGATGCAATTTTAATAAAAATAAAACAAGGAGACATTATTAACTTAGCGTATATCCTGTTGCGTTACTCTACTTCCGTATACTCCACTTCCGTTTCATCCTTATAGATACTCAAAGGTTATGTGCGTGTGGACTGAGTGATCTTTTCAAAAAACTCATCCAACCACAACCAAATTATAAGAGAATTTATGAAATAATTGTGAAAACTTAATGGTAAAGTTTAAAATTTGTGAAACCTAAACAAAGAAAGTTAGAACTAATTAACTGGATCACTCAATCTGGACACCTGAAGAATAAGCCATAACGCGTATCCAAGAATATACTACCTATGTGTTTATAATTTGTATTTGAAATAATTGTGAAGAATTTGTGAAAGCTGCTAAACAAATTTTCGATTCATTTCAAAGCCACGTTTAAGATTTAGAACGGTTTATATGGATCACTCGGAATGCACTATGTTCATTTGAGTGATCTTTTAAAACACTACCTTATACTGAAAAAGTATCAAACATTATCATGTTTATTATAAATTATGCTTCTGGGAAAATTTGTGAAACAAAGATCGGAATTGAAATCTTACTGGTTTAGGAGAAAATGGAAATCTTGTTTTTTCTCGATCGTCCCAACTGAGTGATCCTTATCTTGAACTATATTTAATAAACCCAAACTTATAGGTAGAAGGTAGTTACATCAGAAATTGAGAAAAATGTTGTACTAAAATTTGACGAACCAATCGTCCCACTAAGTGTTATATTTTAAAAGATAACTCATTTTTTACAATCCTTATGGAAAACGTTGAGTAGGGTGACCATATCGGTTTACTTGAGTACCGAGAGTTGTGTAAGTTTTGTTTTTAGAAGTTTTTAAGATGTTTTTAGAGTGTTTTTACTACTTAATACTTACATAATTTCAACATTTAATGATGTATTTAGTGACAATTTTTCAGCAAAGTTAGGTACTGTCACACTGTATTAGGTTTATCATACTAAGGAATTCTACACACAAAAAAAGATCAGATTTTTTTAAGTAACCAAGGAAATTAACTTTTTATTATTCTGTTTTTTTTTCTAACATTCATAGTCTACTAGAATGTTACCTAATCAATAAATCCGTAGGATAAAGTATGTAAAATAACTGGTTCATCTTCTTTGCTGTTATACGTTTTTCCCATCAAATCATCATAACAGACTATTTTTTCGTTATGGACACCATGTCCTCTGTAGTGGTCAATATTATCGGGACTTCGTTCATTGCACTGCCACCATCATTACCCCATTGTGGCACAATGATGCCTAATATCAAAGTACTTGCTCGATGCTTTGGATAGGTTACAGCGGCGCGCGATCCGCATCATAGGCGATGAGGAGGTGACTAAACACCTTGAGCCTCTTCAATTACGCCGTGACGTGGCGTCACTAAGCGCGTTCTATCGTCTGTGTGGTACAGACAAGTGTTCTAAGGAGTTATTCTCTCTCATTCCACCTTCCCCTTTCCTTCAGAGGACCACGCGCGCTGGCCTACGTTGCCACCGCCTAACTGTGGCCACAATTCTAGCGCGTACAAAGAAATTTGGTGACTCATTTCTTTGTCGCACTATCCGTAAATGGGATGCTCTGCCCGCTCACGTGATCCCTCCCTCTTACAACCTGTGATCCTTTAAAAGAGGCGAGAAGAAGCAGCTTGCAGGCCGGCAGGGTGAAGATGGCTGGTGTGGCAGGTAGAACTGCTGTATCTGCTATCTTCGCGTCTGGACTTAACCTTCACTTAACATCAGGTGGGGTGGAGTCATTTGTCGGACCTATCTATATAAAAAAAAAACTATAAACAAACTTGCATTAAATGCACTGCAGAACGCCGCCAGCTTCGCAAATTGCAATGAATATACACAATGTTAGCATTGAATAGGGTAGTCGAAAAAAAATCCGACTAAATAAAAAAGTACAAGTACCCTACTCAACGTTTTCCTTAAGGATTGTAAAAAATGAGTTATCTTTTAAAATATAACACTTACTGGGACGATTGGTTCGTCAAATTTTAGTACAACATTTTTCTCAATTTCTGATGTAACTACCTTCTACCTATAAGTTTGGGTTTATTAAATATAGTTCAAGATAAGGATCACTCAGTTGGGACGATCGAGAAAAAATAAGATTTTCATTTTCTCCTAAACCAGTAAGATTTCAAACCCGATCTTAGTTTCACAAATTTTCCCAGAAGCATAATTTATAATAAACATGATAATGTTTGATACTTTGTAACAATTTTTGTTATCACCGACTGAACACAGGGCTTTGTATGAGACTCGAAATTAATTAATCTATAATCAGGGCGCCGTATTACTGATATTTGAGGGAGATAAAATAAAAAATCGATAACCGCAGTGAACAAGACCTTTTATATTTTCACTATTTAGATGAAATTTTCAACATACAGTGATACAATTTTTACATATAACAGATATCTTTGAAGATGGCTTTTATAAATTCAAGTATTGAGAATAAGTGACGAACATACCGTCAAAACAGGTGTACAAACACATATATTTATGTTAATATTCTAAGGAAACAATTTGTTTTAGCAAGTATCGTACATACAGATATATTTATGTTAAGATTCTAAATAAACAATTTGTTTAGCAAATATCAAGCTACTTATATTAATGAATTTACAGTTTACTACTACAAATCCTTTATTATGTTCTAACAATCAGAAACTTCGTACTTCGGAGAATGCACTGGTTAAAGATTAAATATGTTCAGAGTTTACTTAGCTTTCAAGATCTTGGTACCATCAAGCGATTCAGGTATCCACGTGGGTTGTAACAAAATCTGCTGTCATCACATGTACTCGTTTTCGATCAAGATTGCATTCACAGGCTCATTTATATATATATAGCGTACTTCTTTATATATATATATATATCCAAAGAAATTCCAAGCAGGATTAATTAATTGAAATTATCGTATACTGTTTTTAATTAGCCACCTCAAAGGACCTAGAAACAATTACACACATTTCCTATAGTTCAATAAAAAACCTAAATTGACCTACAACCTAACTAGTTAGATATATTGGACTTACCCGTTAATCCGGGGAAAATATATTAATTAATTATGCACTGACTACAACTGCCAGTCACTGTGCAATTTACTAGAAGTTCCAGAGTTCGGTTAGCAGACAAAAGAGAATGAAACCGTCTGCGCAAAGCTATTTATAGTGGCATATGGTCACGTGTGCCTACTAGCAAATTTCTCTGAAATCACCATATTTGGTGTGAGGAAATGACAGGACCGGTTAGGCCAGCTCCGCCCATCTCCCACCAAGAAACTCCTTCTAGAACATTAGCTATCACGCAATCTACGCGTGTAATTTTATTTCACACTATTACATACAACTCCATCTACCTCAACTTTCAAACGCAACTATCAAATTTTTCATTCAGAATATATTCCGTGCTTCTTTAAAACAAATTACATTATTCGATGATGAATACGTATGGTGATAGATGGCGCTTTGATTAATAATATTACTATAACTTAATATTATAAAATTATATTGCTACAACTTTTTCAGTATAAGGTAGTGTTTTAAAAGATCACTCAAATGAACATAGTGCATTCTGAGTGATCCATATAAACCGTTCTAAATCTTAAACGTGGCTTTGAAATGAATCGAAAAATTGTTTAGCAGCTTTCACAAATTCTTCACAATTATTTCAAATACAAATTATAAACACATAGGTAGTATATTCTTGGATACGCGTTATGGCTTATTATTCAAGTGTCCAGATTGAGTGATCCAGTTAATTAGTTCTAACTTTCTTTGTTTAGGTTTCACAAATTTTATATCTTACCATTAAGTTTTCACAATTATTTCCTAAATCCTCTTATAATTTGGTTGTAGTTGGATGAGTTTTTTGAAAAGATCACTCAGTCCACACGCACATTCAAAGGTTTCATCGAATCTCAAGTCACAACGCTACTATAGAAGAATTCATTTCAATAAGCCAGAGCTGTGATAATAATTAATATTAACTACCAACTGAACGTTTGTTATTTCACTATTCAGGTATTGTAATATACCGGGCAAACTTAAATCTTTAGTATTTTTCCAAAAATTGCTAAAAGCGCTAGCGAAAAAC